GTCACAAAAACGAGGACAATTCACTCTGCACACTGAACTGTGCTGGGCACTAGAAACGAGGTAAGTAGGGAGTTGAACATTGAGAACCCATGAACACAGAAAGGGGAACAACACACACCAGGGCCTGTCTTGGGGTGGAGGATGGGGTGAGGGGAAGGAACTTAGAGGATGGATCAATAGGTGCAGCAAACCACCTTGGCACATGCATACCTATGTGACAAACCTGCACGCTCTGCACATGTATCCTGTTTTTATTTTTAGAAGAAAGAACGAAAAAAAGTAAGAAATGAGGTAAGTATTAAAAGTTCGGCCCTTGAGAAGTTCATAAACACAGAGGAAGTTTTACCTTCAAATCTCTACCATTTCTGAGCAGAGAAACATGGATATATCTGTGTTTTAAAAACACCAAAGGAATCGCCGGGCATGGTGGCTCACGCCTGTAATCCCAGCACTTTGGAAGGTCGAGGCGGGAGGATCACGAGGTCAAGAGATCAAGAGCATCCTGGCCAATATGGTGAAACTCCGTCTGTACTAAAAATACAAAAATAAGCTGGGCATGGTGGCACGCGCCGATAGTCCCAGTTACTCCGGAGGCTGAGGCAGGAGAATCGCTTGAACCCGGGAGGCAGAGGTTGTGGTAAGCCGAGATCATGCCACTGTACTCTAGCCTGGTGACACAACAAGACTCCGTCTCAAAAAAGAAAACAAAAAAAACATGGAAGGATCTAGCCTTTCTAGGCAACACAGGACAGGGGAAGTATTGCAGACTTTAGGTTTGATGCCAGCTTTTTCACTCCCTACTTACGTGACCTTGCATCTCAACTTCTAAATAGTGACATGAGTGCCATAAATCTTCAAATCATATCTCTGGGAGTACCTACTGAGTGCCAGGTACTGTTCTCTGTGCTTGCTATAGGCCAGTAAAACCAAACCAACCAAAGATGTCTGATCTATGGAGCTGACATTCTGGTGAGCCTTACTTATTTTTTTCTTCTTTTTTCTTATATCTTTTTTATTTATATTTTTTTAGTTGTATCTCAAACAGGAAACAGAAAAAAAAAAATGAGACCAATGTTTTCAGTCATCGGATTTGAAAAATGTTAATATTTTGTCATACTTGTGTCAGATATTTTAAAAGAAATAAAGTATTACAAAGTTATGTTTTAAAATTCATTTAAGGTACAAACAGAAACAAAAAGTTGACAAAGGAGATGGGACTGAATCTGGGTCGGTCCTATTGCAAAATTAGTAAAATCAGGACAATAATGAAATACTCACCAATTTATTGAAGAAATGAAGGAAGAGTTCAGCTGTTCTGGACAAAAGAAACACACTGACAGAACAATAAATTACAAGAAATATAATGGATGATGCTGTGAACCCAAAACCAATTCAACAGACAAACATAGGGACAAGCAGGCATTTATTTCTTAGGAGCCAAGGATATTTATCACTTGGTATGATACTCATTTGGCCTCAGTAGCTTCTGGAAGAGCTCTGCTCTTAACATTTGAACAATTTATTGCCTAATTATTTAGTGTGCCCTTTTGAAGAGTCTGTCTGCTGGACACTTTCTGAGAGTGAGCACAAAAAGTGGGCTCTTGGAAAGTCATCCCTCCCCCCCATTGCATTAAAAGCAAAATAACCTTTTATCAAATGCTTTGTGGCCATTTAGAATATTGAATTTGTATTTTAATCATCGAGTTCAACAGGAATATAGCCAGTGGGAAGGACTTAATTACAAATGATGTCTTTCTCATGGTGATGCCTACAATCCCAGGAGGTGCTTTAATGAAGTTCTGAGCCCTCAGACAGGAAAGGTCAAATGGCTTTCCTCCCCCCTGTACCTCCAAAGTGCACAAAGCTGCACCTTTATCCTAGCAGATGTTCAACCAGGTATAATATTAGCCTAAGGCAAAAATTCCAGGAAACAAGAGCTCACAGGGAAGCAATTCTCTGGAATTGAGTGGATAAGGGCAGCCTCTTTTGGAGTTTGAAGAGGAGATGAATTTAGATAATCTCCTTTTGAATATAAATGTATATTTTGTTACGAGTGTAATATGCTAGCAGAGATACTATTCTGCTTGGGAATTTATTACATATTAAATATTCATGATATTGCAGATCAATATTTTTTAAGTGTTGAAAATGTTCCTCCTACACTTATGCTATGTACATATTCAAATTTGTATAAGGTAAAACCAGCTGAAATTGCTTTTTGGTAGGTCGAAAAAAGTTGAATATTCCATTTTATCTGGTTCAACCTAATTACTCAAATTGTCTTACAATTAGCAAAAGAATGCAAAGTTACATTTTATAACACCATTTTGACCTGTTTTTCATTCTTATAAAATACTCTTGTATTATGTTAAAAAACACCATTTCAAAATAGACTGTATATATTATATATAGAATATTTTGATATATATAATTATATATAATATACATATCAGCGTATTTTGAAATATTGTTTAGCATAAGAGTATTTTATAAGAATGAAAAATAGATCAAAATATATTACTGAAAAATCAAAAAAACTTTGGTTTTTCTTGAAACTTAAAAAGAAAATGGCTTCTTTGCCTTCTCCAAATTAAAACAAAACAAAACAAAACAAACCTCAATATGCTATGTTTTAGGAAAAAAAAAATCTTTAGTAAAATTAAATGTAAAAGAGTTTGATTAAGCAAAGAACCATTCTGGCAGTCTCCAGAGGCAGAGTAGGCTCAGAGACTCCAGCACACCCACGTGGTAGAAGGTTTATGGGCAGAAAAAGGAAAATGAGGTACAGAAACCCCCGGACTGGTTCTAGCTCCGCCTTTGCCTTATTTGAACAGGGTTTGAACAGTTGACCACATGTGATTGGCTGAAACTCAGTGTTGGCACAGGAGTAGGCTTCAGTCTGTTACAATTCCATTTAGGTTATAGTTCACAATGTACAGAGAAACCTTTAGGCCAAACTTAAAATATGTAAGGAGGCAGCTTTAGGCTAAACTTGATTTATCAAATGAAAGATATGGATTTCTACATGGATTACTAATGTTAATAAATACAGGAAATCTTCAAATACAGAATACTTTTTTGATATGGTTTTCTTTAAGAAGATATTTTGGTCTTCAAAAATTATTTTTACAATTTAAGTCTTTGTAAAATATTTAGTCATGAAAATAGAGTTGTATTTATTCCTGTATTTACTTGATTTGATTTTTTACCATGTCTTATTATAATGCCTGTGCCCTGATGAAAAATTATAAGGGCTAATCAAGGTAATGTATGCCTCCATAAAGCACAATTTGGCTGAACATTAATTAACTGAACATAAAAATCTTTTCTAAAGACTCTTAAAGCTAATTCCAATGTAAATTTTAAATAACTAGAAAACCATGTGAACCCCAAAACGAATGGAAAAATGTATATAACGTCAATTAAATTAAGCCTGAATAACGCTTCATACACACACTATTGACAGGTTAAATACTTGGGATTAAAAAGACTGGGGATCTTTAACAAGGACTAGTAAGGAGGCAATGGGGAAAGGAAGGCTGGAAATAGGGGAGGACCAGTAGGGACAGGATGACTCAGAGGTAAGTAGCTGTCATTATCTCTGGAAGTCTATCTCAATGGTTGGGGCCATACCTGAAATTGAAAACACAGCTAGCGTAGCTCACAGTGGTGTGACTAAGTTGCAAAAGAGTTTGTCTTGCGTGGTTAATAAACAATTTCAGAACAGAATACATTAAATTCTCTTAATGCTGTGCCGGAATAAGTGTATAGAGCAGACCACAAAATAGGGGAACAAGTGCCAGTCATGAACCAGCTGATTTGATTTACGCTCCAGGCAATCGCCAGAAATTAGGTTGTTAAGCTGAGGGAACAAGATCGGTATTTAAACTGTCTTTATATGATATCATAGCCACACACCACCAGTCTCGCCACCTTTATGGTGCTTTAATATAAAAATTGGATATTTGTTTTTAAGTCTAATTCGTTTTAAAATACACACCACCCTGAACGTTTACAAGAAATATTAATAGCATAGAAACCCTTTGCATAGTGGAAAACCCGAGATGTATCTTATTTTTACTGGCAGTTAATGTAGAGCCCTACATAACAGCTGCCTCAATAGCCACTAGATTAGGGACGTAAAACTTCAAACCCTTAGCCTGTTCCCTGTGCGGGAGGGGAAACAGAAAAATAAGAGAAGCGCCCTCACCCCGGTTTTGGAATTCCAAGAAAGTGTTGAACTGCCTGATGAAGAATTCATTTTGAATATAACTGTCTTCATTTAGGGAGGGTGTGTAAGTGTTCGGTTTGTCTTTGAAATGAAACCTTTCCAAGAGGCACGTGTCGATTTACCAAAGACAGAATGGTAAGGGGGAGCCCGGAGGCAAGAACTGGTGAAATCTCTCAGAAGACGCGGGACGAACCCTTTTTTCCCCTGCAATCTCTCCTGCCTCTCTCCAGAGTCCAGGAGGAGGCAGTCCCCGAGGTCTAGGCTTTATCTTTAAGACAATAGCGCCGCTCGCCGCCACCCGCGCGATTCGGATCCAGCATCCTGGATGCTGCCCTGCCCCGCGCCCTGCGTGCTGGCTCATCTGCCCACGGGCCACCTGCACTGCCAACCAGAGCCGCTGTCCCGGCGGCCTCCCCAGCATCTTGGCTGCCTCGCGGGTCCTCCCGTCCCACCTGCATCTCTAGGACGCCCCGGACCCGCCCATCCTCCTGCCCCACTGCTTCATGCACTCACGACTCCCCCATTCCCTACGGCCCACGGGACCCTCTACCCCACCGGCGCCCCAGCCCGAGCGGCGGCTGCGGCCCTGAGAAGCCCGCAGTTCCGCTTGCGCCGCGCCGCCGGCGACTGGAGCTGGGAGCACCGACACGAATCCCCCGCACGCCCCCAACGCCCCGCGCCACCTGGCCCGGCTCGCTGCGACTCGGGGACGGCCTGCGTCTCGCCTCCACCCTGGCCGCGGGCCCCTCGGGCTTGTTTGCTTGTCCTCAGTCCCAGGGCCAGCCCCACTCCCTCCTCCCGGCTGCTCCAACAGCCGTTTGCTTCCTGCGGTGTGTTTCTTTTTTTCCCCTTCCTAGACTCCATCAAAGGTGGCTCTGTTATTGAAATATGAAGCCATTTCCTCTCCAAAACCCTTGGTTACTCAAGGCGGGAATCAATGGACCTATATACTCTCCCAGGAGTTATAAATAAATGTCTATTTGTTCAGGAGGCGTTTTCCCGCGTGTCCCAGCATCTTCCCCAGTGGTTATTTCAGGAGAATGTGTGTGTGTGTGTGTGTGTGTGTGCGCGCGCGCGCGGGCGCCCTGTGCCCATCTGGTTCTAATCCTGGGTATGGATCCACAGCCCAACCCCACCCATCCCGTCTCTCCCTCGCATTCCTCATTCTATAAATAAATCCAGGTTCTTTGAGCTCTGTCATCCAAGGATACAATAGCAGTTGTTTGTTAAGAGAAATTTAAACTCAACACCAATACTGAGTCCAGTAAACCAGAAAATATGCTTCTGCTGATTTGGGTGGAAGGCCATCTCCGGTTTAGGAAGTTTTATGTGCCGTTATCATCATTGTCTGTTATCCTTGATTTCCTTTGGGGAGGGGAAGGCGGGAAAGAGAGGACCTCTCCGACCCTTGGATTTTTCTTTTAAGCAGAGGCTAATAAAACAAAGCGCAAACTGACTGTCCTGAGGAGTGTGCTCACATCGCTGTCCCGCAGATCATTCCACAGACCCCATGTCCCATCCCCTCTGGACAGACCTAGGAGTGGTGAAGGTGAGGGTTTGGGAGGTGTGGTGTGGTGGGGGCTTGTGTGGTTGTAGCGGCCGGCTTTCCTGAACCCCAGAGCGAGATACTCGAGATCTGAGCAGAGGGGAAAGTCATCTAAGAGGCTGCTGCTTTACAAGGTCTGGGCACAGAGCTGCCCCTCCCTTCCTCCCTGAAGTTTGCATGAAGTGCACGTTAGGCTGTAATTAGGGGATCTGGGAGGAGAACTTTCCTGGTGACGCTTTGCTTTTCTTGTGCTCTTGGTGAGAAAGTGCCTCCTTCTTCCCAGGATCAGGACCTCTGCCATCCAGCGCCACAAAGAGACATTCTGCACACACACACACTCTCTCTCTCTCACACACACACACACACACTCACACTCGCCCAGAGACAAACTTAAGGTGAGGAGAAAGAGCGCTAGCTTCACTTGATCTCCAGCTTCCAACTTAAGCAGAACTTGAGAGCATCCGAACTCCTGGATTTCAGGACAAGGTAAAACTTGCAAAAATTTTCCCCCTCTTTTGGTTATACCTTTGTGCCTTTAAGATTTCAAAGGGCAATACACATGTAATGTATATATACATTATACAAATTTTATTGTTTTCTTTTGAATTTAGCTTTCATTTGAATTTAATATGACACCTCAACTTTTTAAAAAGTTTCATATTGTCAGATAAAATATTTCGCTACAATAAACAGGCTCGGTTTAGAATTGGCGACAGAATTAACTCTAGTGTGCTGGCTTCTGCTAGTGTTACTGCAAATCTGGTAGTGTCATGGTGTCCAAGTGGTGACTTTTCTATCTGTATTTTAACAACCATTTTTATAGCACCTGAGATGAAAAAAAGGATAGTATAGGCTGAAGGGAAAGGTGAGGAATGGGAATGTCCAGCCAGGCTTATGAATTTTGTGTTAGAGAATATATAGGGTTTTGTGAAAAAGAAAGTTACTTTAAGGCATAGGTAATACCTGTTAGATTAATAATCTTAGAAATGTTGCCGGTTTTGGCCCAGGCTTCTCCAGCTAATTATGAAATTAACATCATAGAATAATGATGCATTTCATATATACGATGATGTTGATGGATAATTTTAATGCACTGAAGAGAATTTATAGTCATAGTTAAGATTACTTTTAAAAGTTGCTTAAAGAAATTATTTATATGTTGAGACTGTTCACCACCAAAACAAACCGAAACTTGTTTGGGCTTCGATTAAGTAGTTTTCTTCCATTGAATGTGACTATTGTGTTCAAAATAAGATGGCTTATTAATTTGAGAATAAGTTGCTTTATTTTCATTTATCACTGGAAAAATACACAGAGTGGCCAGGACATTTGGGAATTTTTAGGGTGGAAAGTGTTCCTGTGCATGTTCCAGTGTGATGTCATAAAATCAAATATACTGGTTGGCTTCTTGGAAGCTAATAGTTCTTAAGAAATTAAGGCTCTGGATTAATTTCTAAATGAATGTAATATTTATTCATTACAAATACAGTTTCTGGTGACTATTTCTATGTGATTATTTCTGTGTACTAAATTTGCAGAGATTTTATACACATTTCAGTCATTTCAGTATTTCAATGGAATGGGAATATTGTTCTATCAAAAGTGTATCATAGCAGTTATCGTTGGAGAATTTTTAATGTGATATGATTCATAATTCTTACATCAGTTACCAAATTCCATTTACTTACAAAAATGAAAGTTTTCCTTCCATTCAGTAAAATATAATGTATACCAAAGGACTCTTCAGTGATTAGCTTTAGTCTTTAGCCACTTTTATACTACTCATTTTAAAAAATTTAATTGTTTCAGCTAAGAAATGAATTTATATTTTTGTTGATGACCTCTTCCACTAAATTGGAAACAGCTTAAAAACAGAACTAGATAAGAAGTAATTTTGCTTAAGGCTAATTAAATGAACAAGAGATAACCAACAACCTCTACAGACCACTGGTCTACAGGAGGAATGTACCCAGAGGCCAGTATTCTCAACAGGAATGCCTGATGGGCCTGGGTTTTCTATGAGAAACAAGAAGGTGGGGAAACATTATGTTCTTATTTATAAAATGAGCCATTTATTTTCAGCAAGGCCCTGTCCCTCAGAGGAATGACTGACACTGTAATTTAGAAGTACTGAAGAGACTTTCACAGAGAAGAATCAATTCATTATATCCCTAGTGGTTTCGCTTCCTTTTCCTTCCTTTGGGAGCAAGTAACGCATCCAGGATAAATACATTCAGATTACGCAGAAAGATACTTTATGTGTAAACGATCTACTAAACAATCCTACCTTTTAGCATCTTGGGTGTGGAATATTGGTATTTTCTGAACAGTTGAAGAAGTCTTTTGAATCTTAAGGTAGCAATGCATTTCATCTTTGTAAAGATGAACAAGAGTTACATTCAGAAAATGACTCCCTTCCGTAGAAAATACTAGTTTTCTTTTTCACTTCTTTTTGCCCCATGCACATTTTATTTTTCAGAGTGCATTTTTAAGATAATGGTATCTCACCAGTTAAAATTCTGACAAAATACAAGGCAAATTTGAAAATAACTTTGACTATGCTTCAGATTAATTTTCTGACATCCTGCAGCCATGATTAGTAACCATAGTACTTAGGCTATGTAGTTTAAGTGTACTCAGCCTGTCATTTAAAGGTAACAAAATGCCGTTGGGAGAAGTAGGAAAGGATGGAAACCTGAATATACTTAGGATTTTAATCAATAGTGTTTAAGGAGGATTAGAGGAAACAGCTGGTTAAACAATTATTAGGAGTAGAGAGGACGAGGTGGTATAAATTAATAATGCATCTCTTTATTTACACTATGAATGGGAGGGTCTGTGGTGGTTAACTGTGTGAAGCATGGTCCCTGTGTGCCACCTAGTGGATAAGTCAAATAAGGCTTTCTCACCGGCTTCTTAAAATACTCTTGACTCCTTTGGTTGACGTTTGTTGAACATTAACTACGTGCCAGACATTGGAATAGGTGCTCAGGGTAGAAAATAAAGCAAGTGATGTTTATATAAGTTAAAAATTAAGGTACAACTCAACAGTTTATGAAATCCCTAGTGGTTGTATTTAAGATCACTTTACTCTTTATTGGATACTTTACCATTAACTTTCTGCCTCCACAAGGATATAGCTTCATAACTGCAACTCACTTCTAATATAGGATTTGTTTTAGACAGACAGATCATGAAATTGTTCAAGGAATGGTGGAAAGTGTTTGACCATCTTAAATCACTGTTCCTTCTGTAAGGTTTAATGTTACTGAATTTAGTTGGGTAAACAACCACTAGCTTAAAAGGTTACCACACAGCTGCACATTGTGTTTCATATTCTTTGATTATTTCATTAAATTGAAAAGGATAGTAGTACAAGTTGTTTTTGAGTAATGAGGTCTATTTTATAAAATACTGCTCTCAAACACTAATACTGAGCATGTAAAACAACTTCACCTATACTTGTTGTTCCCATGGAGTTTTGAAGCAGGAACCTGGCTTCCATTAAGTTGATCTAATAGAAAAAAAAATCCTAGACAAAAACAATTACTTGGGAAACCACCACTTGAAGGAAGTATTAGGATACCACAGAAGATTCATCCACTTGAGTATTGCACTGACAGCTTTAAAAATCTTTTCTTTAAAAGATATATGAATTATTACTCCAATTAGCTCTTTGCAAGATATGTGACAATTGCAACAGTTCTCAGGACAATCAGCATGAATCAAGACAAGTTGTGAAATTCATATAGGAAGGTAAAATGCCTCAGTCAAGAAAAATGATGAATTTGTTACTTGGGGAGTTTTTCAGGTGTAATCCACAAATAGATTTAGGGCTGCTGTTGTGGAATGGAAGTTTCCTCTTTAGAAGCGTTTGGTTTTTGTATGGCAGGGAAACCCACACAGTGAAAGAAGGAGACCTGCCCATTAAGCTGTTTTTCATTAATATCACAAAATTATAACCTGTGTTGATTGGAGGTACTGTTTGGAATTAGCACATCAATCATATAAAATAAAGCAGATTATTTTAAGCTTTATTTCCAATAGATCATTATCTATCAGGAAAAAAAAAAAAAACACTTTCTGTTAATAATTTCATTGGATCATCCTTGTGATTTAGAATGAATTGCATACTCATTCTAGTGAGAGAGTTAGCGAGAGACTGCCTAAAAGAGGTCCTTAAAGTAGAAGTTTAATCATGGACTTTTCTAGTTTTTTTTCTTTTTTTTTTTTTTTTTTTCCTTGAGATGAAGTCTCACTCTGTTACCCAGGCAGGAGTACAATGGCGTAATCTTGGCTCACTGCAACCACCACTCCCCAGGTTCAAGCCATTCTCCTGCCTCAACCTCTCGAGTATCTGAGACTACAAGCATGTGTCACCATGCCTGGCTAATTTCTGTATTTTTAGTAGGGACAGGGTTTTGCCATGTTGGCCAGGTTGGTCTCGAACTCCTGACCTCAAGTGATCCACCCGCCTCAGCCTACCAAAGTACTGGGATTACAGGCCTGAGCCACCATGCCCGGCCTTCTTCTAAAGTCTTCTACCATGTTACAAGAAGTTTTAATGATTTGGGATGACTTGAGGATACTAGACAAGAACAAACTTTACAAGAGAAAACCAGCCAAGCTCTCTGAAATGGTCTGATGCTTACAGTTATATTGCCCTTGCTCCACATAATAACTCCTCCCACTGATACAGACATGGAAGGGGATAACTGGTATTAAGAGTTTTTAGCTATGCGTCCCAGAGATAGCCAGAATTTAAGTATCAAATGTTGCTGACTATTTTGAGAATCCATTGATTGTTTTACAGCTTAACAGGGGTGACACTTGAGATCAGGGTATTGCTATAAGGCCAGGAGACTATTTACAAAACAAAAAGAAAAATTCAGAGTGAAAATATCTTGGAAAACTTACTAAAGTTAAAGGACTGGTTCTCCATCTGTTCAAGACAACAGAAATGTTCCCTTCTGCCCAATCTAACATCCAAAAAGAACACAATTTACTCTATTGCTTACTAAATTCCAATTACTATAATATTCAATTAAATTAAATAATATTCAAATTATGTTTATGGTAAGTCTGGATTTCCCTAAGCCTTTCACCAAGTCTTATGGATAATCTGTGGTTTTGTCTTCATTCATACTCTGTGAAATTTTTTTCATTTTTACTCTGTTATTTTGAATTTGGGGGATCATCTCATTTGATCATTCATTTGTTCGTTTGTTTATTCAACAAAAATGTATTGAGCACTGGCTGTTTACCACGCACTGTGCTAGTGCCATCTGCTCCCCCTCACTTTACACTGTGAAAGTCCATTCTAAAATAATCAGAAAGTCAAAACTGATGTCATAAACCTGAAATGTTACAAGGTCCCGAAGTGTACTTTGAGTAACAAAAATAACCAAAAAGTTCTCGCCTCATAGTTTTGGTATTAAGAAAATTTTGAGCATGCATTTTTAAAACTTATTTTCCCTTGTGTGCGA